CTGCCGTCGGGCCGCGCGGGCCGCGGGGCCGCGCCGCGGAGGCCACTGTTAGGTCGGGCATGCCCTCCTACAGGCCGATTTCGGGCGAAAAATCGAAAATAGTGAAAGAATGATCAAACAATCTTCAAGCATGTTCAAGAATCGTCCCCGGATAATATTTTTCATCATTTGTGAATATTCCTCCTGTCGAGGGACAAGCCCGACTTCAGGCTACAGCTGGGCCGCCGATCGCACTCTTCGGGGGGCCCGGCCCCCCTCGCGCCGCCGAGAGGGGAACAAAAAAACACGACGGACGCTCTGGGCGCTGTTCCTCGAGATCGCAGCCCCCCAGGGCAGGGGGGAAGAGAGGGACGGGAGGGGGTGGGAAGGAGACGCGCGAGCAGTGCTCTATTCAAAACAAGAACCCAACGCAGGAGGGTTGGGAATAAAACAACGATCACCATCCGGTCGGCGTTCTCGACCTCCTCCCGGAGGGGTTCTCCGAAAGGCTTAGGGGTGTGAAGAGTGCACTCCCCTGCCCCTCTGCCGCCCGTGCCACCATGTGTGTATGTTGTACACGCTTGTCTTGTTTTGTGGCATGCACGCTGCCCGCCGCTGTTTTGGCCCTAGTCCTAGGGCCCTGGGACGCACCCGCAGTTGGACTGCCGCGCGGTCTTTGCTGAAAACAACTGCACTGACATTGGTAGCGGAGCCGGTAAGCTCCAGCGGACGCACTGCGTGCTCTGCTTCGGTGGTTGTGACCACCCGCGTGGGCCGCCATGGCCACCAGCCACGACGGCTCAGACGTGGAGGCTGCGTCCTCCGCAGGCACAGGTCCCCCGGACCTGCATGCAGTCCTGCGCGTGATGGCCGAGACCCAGCGGGAGCTCTTGGCCTTGCATCGGGATCGTGGCGACGGCGGTCCCAGACGTACACGTCTACTGCTGTCGCAGGTGAGGCTCCCAGAGTTCGATGGTGGAGTCGGTACGAGTACTAAGAAGTACCGAGAGTGGCGCAAGGAGGTTGAAGTCATCCGCAACCTCAATCAGCTCTCAGACGTGGAGCTGGGCCTGATCATCTACAGTCAAGTGACAGGTCGAGCCAAAGAGCTCATCGAGGTGCTTGACGCGTCGGACCTCCGACGCGAGGAGACGCTCGAGACCATCTTTGCTATCTACGACGACGCCTTCGAGAAGATGGATCACGAGCGCCTCGATCAGGTGCATCAGGATTGGGAGCGAGCACACCGTCGAGCTGGGCAGCCGATCATGGATTGGACCACGTACCTGCGCAAGAAGCGCATGGAGTTGCAGCTCGAGGATCCCACATCAGCGATCAGCGATCGCGCATTGGCAAGCAAGATGCTTCGTGGCGCTGGACTGTCGCAGAAGGAGCGAGCGCAGGTGCTCTTCAACTGTGGCGGCATCTACGACTCGAAGCGGATGGAGGTCGTGCTGAAGGCAGCCTATTCGAAGGTGCACGACACCGAGAAGCGCTCAGTGCTCCCTCGCCGCTCGCCGTTTGCGGCGCAGCGTGAGCACGGGCGCTCCTCTGGGAGTTCGGGCGGTCGCTATCCGCACCCTCCCATGGCTCGTAGGCCGTGCGTGCTGCGAGGACGCTCTGGCCAGCACGTACACGAGGTAGAGAACGGCGAAGACTACGATGAACACCACGGCGACTTGGAGGAGGCGCAGCATGACGAAGATGAACCAGACGACCAGGACGAAGGAGATCTCGGAGGGGCCGAGGGCCCCTTCTTCGAGGAAGGCGCCGAGGTCGAAGAGGAGCTGGCGTCGGACAACGACGGGCCAGATGACGAGGAGTACGAGGCACCGGAGGATCTTCAGGAAGCGTTCTTGGCCGGCTGGAGGGCCAAGCAGAAGACGGCGGTACAGCGTCAGAAGCGCGGGTTCGTTGCTCCTCGGCAGCGGGACCCCAAGAAGATCAACGCTAGCGGCTCCTTCCAGGCTGGTCGGAAGCCGACAGACCAGCGCAAGGCTAACAGCCGGTGTGCTGACTGCGATCAGCCTGGCCACTGGCGTGGCGACCCAGAGTGCCCCAAGGTGAAGAGTGGCGAGCGCGAGCCGTACAACAAGATCGGGCCTAAGAATGGCCAGCCAGCGTCGCCCAACCAGCGGAGCTCTGTGAAGCCGCCGGCGCCTAGGCAGGTGCATGGACCGATCGTCCACTGGGTTGGCATGGCAGGCAGTGCCGAGGAGCGTCGTGGCCGCGCTCCATGGCGCCGTGCTCCCCAGTCGGTGCCTGCCCAGAGGCATCCAGTGGAGGGTCGAGCGGACGCGCCAGAGCGGATCATTATGCACCCCAGGCCCAAAAGCATGCCTGCGCCGAGCCTACGCCAGGACGCCGACGACGGCCCAGGGGCCGCACAGAGCAGTGATGAACGTGCGCGCGCCCGTGCCAGGCGCGGGGAGGATCAGGAGGACGAGGATGCTGTCGTGCGTTGCCATCGCATTCTGGCCAACACCCACGCAAAGGGGCACAGCGTGGAGTTGGAGTTTCCTGACCTTGCCACGGTCCATCACATCGTGGAGCGCGTGACGAACAAGAAGCCTATCTTCTTCAAGCAAGGCCGCTTCGAGAGCCTCGACTTCGTCCAGGGTCGGCTCGTGCGCCTGCAGCTGACCACATCGAGGCCTTGTACGGCGGCTGAGGTGGATCTCGACGAGATCACGGCAACTATATTCAAGATCGTGATGGGCGGCAATCGTGATACCAAGCCCCGTGACGATCGGCGCGGTGAAGGCGGGAGTCGTGACACCAAGCAGCGTGAAGATCATCATCGAGATCGTCGGGGCGACCGCCAGCGTGATCGGGGAGCTGTTCTTCGCGAGCCTCGCGCCCCTCCTCCGCCCGAGGCGGAGGCTTCCTCGCGTTCAAGGTCGCGGAGTACACCAGGAGGCCGCGGTGTGAAGAAAGAGAAGCGGAGTCCACCAGAAGACCGCGGTGAGAAGGAAGAAAAGGAAGAAAAGAAAGAGAAGAAGAAGAAGAAGGCGAGGAGCAGCAAAGAAGAGAAGAAAGAGAGAAAGAAGGCAAGAAGCAGCAAGGAAGTGAAGAACGAGGACGAGGCCAGCGAGGATCCTGAGGCCACCGAGGACGACAACGACCAGCGGCGTGAGGATAAGGAGGTGCCGTTCACGCCAGAGGAGATGGACGAGATCTTCTGCAGCTGGTATCCGCGTCAGGATATCTTCAGGGATTACCTGACGCCGCCGGCAACCATCCACTTCATCACTAAGAACGACCGCATCGTGCGCCTCAATCTCTACACGCGCCGCTGCGAGAAGCCAGATTTCTCCTTATCCAGCGGCCCTGCGAGGGCCCATCCTGTATACGTGGTGGAGGCGTCGGCGAAGGGAGCATCGAAGACCAAAGAATCCCCAGACGGAGCTGTGCCTGGACTAACGTCTGCCGCTCCGACTGGGGAGGCCGCCGCTGTCCCTAAGGAAGAGGACTGGGTCATGGCAGGAGCCTCCGAGGAAGTGAGAAAGAGCGAGGAAAAGAAGCGACTAGAGGTTTTGCAGCGTGATAAAGCTGAGTTGCTGGATCGCCTCGCGCTGATAGAGAAACAGGAGATGGAGATGCACACCCGATTGAACCCATGCGAGGTCTACGACGGCCTACAGAAGCGACGTGAGCAGGCACCTCTGCCAGAGCGTGCCCTGCCCACATCTCCTGAGCAGCAGGGAGTCGGAAGCGTGTGGAAGAACATGGAGGCAATACGACGACGTGTCCACCTTCCAGCGCCTCCAGGAGCCGCGAGCTCAGGTGCCCCTGCCGCTGCGACGGCATCTCCAGCTGCATCTGGAGTCCCGCGTGTAGTCACCGCCTCTGGACGGAGCTACGTCATGAGTGTCGGTGCCACGCAGAGTGACCTGGAGAAGCAGCAGATGCATCGAGCCATGTACGACTCGCAGTTCGACGGCGAGAGGCTGGTTCCAGGCCCGAAGGCGAAGTTCGACCCAGAGCTCATGCAGCAGCAGGCTGAATGTGTTCATCCTGTGGGCGAGTTGAAGTGGCAGTCAAACGGCACCGTGATCTTCGCGAAGTGCAAGAAGTGTTCGCTGAAGTCGGTGATTCATTACACGCTGGAGAAGCCCAAGAAGGATGAAGGGGAACCTTCCAAGAACACCCCAGACGGAGCTGTGCCAGGACTAACGTCTGCCGCTCCGACTGGGGAGGATGTTGCCGTCAAAGGGGGCGCGGACCCCTGGGCAGCAAAGGGCGCAGACCCTTGGGCAGCAAAAGGGGGATCTGCGGCCCACATGGTCACCACCCGAGAGGAGTGCCCCCGCAAGGTGGTAGATGAGCAGTCCGTCATGCTTGTTGTCTTGCCCGCGGGGCTGGCTATGATTGACACGGGCTGCAAGCGGGCTGTCGGTGGACGTCCGTGGCATGTCGAGCTGCAGAAGACTTTGGATGCCATGGGCGTGCCGTACCACAGCATCAATCAGCGCGAGTACTTCAAGTTCGGCCCAGGCGTGCCGCTCTTGTCAGAGCGTGCGTGGTGCTACACAGTCGGCATCAACGGTACGCAGGGCGAGGTTGTGATCTCCGAGGTCGATGCCGAGGTGCCAGGTCCCATCGGCCCTGATGAGATGGCAGAGTGGGACGCAGCAATCAGCTTCGGGAACGGTACTTTCACGGCGAATGGTGTGATCAAGCCGTTGGTCCCGGCTGCGTCCGGGCATCCGTGCGTGTCATTGCTGGATTTCCCGGCACCCGTCACGAGTGCCTTCCCCGTCGGACAGTCCGAGGAGCAGGACGAGCTCGCAGACGAGATGTTCAGCGGAACTGCGAGTCACGAGGAGAAGGATGAGCGCAGCGTCGCTGAGACCGTCGAGGAGGAGGACACGCACGATTCTGACAGCAACGACGGTCAGGACGCAGGCGACTCAGAGCTGAGCACATCCCACTATCACACCAGCGACCCAGAGTCCGCGGAGACGGCATCGAGTGACGAGGAGGTTTTCATGGAGAACGCGGACAACGAGGTTTTCATG